ACCATCTGCAGTTCCAGGCATCCGCTGGAGGTCTTGGAACATATCCCCTGCAGGTAAGGGGGGGAACTACTGCATCAATAATCACTTTACATGTGAATGGTCTAATTACAACAATTAAAAGACAGAGATTGTCAGAGTGGATTTAAAAAGAACATAAGACCAAGACCCAAGGATATATTCTCTATAAGAAAACCACTTTAAATATAAAGAATCTGATAGATTAAAAGTAAAGGGATGGAGACAGATATACAATAATAATAATAATAATAAAAGCTGAAGTAGCTGTATTTATTTTGGACATAGTAGACGTCAAAACAAGGAAAATTATCAGGGATAAACAGAGACACTACATAATAATAGAGGGGTCATTTTCCAAGAAGACATACAACCCTAAGCATGTATGCACTTAACAAAGCATCAAAATATTTGAGGCAAAAACTGATAAAAATGAAAGAAAATGGATAAATCCAATATTACAGTTGGAGACTCCAACCAAATCAAAGTTTTACCAAGAACACTGTGTATGTGTTGTCTTCAGACTTGATAAAACAGATTTTTTCTTTATTGAAATGCTGGTTGGAAGACTCCCTTGCCATGTGGCCAGTAGATGGCAGGGCAGCACCATTCTTGAGAATCCCAGCAAAATAAAATGCAAACTCGGAATATGTGGTCACAGATATGAAGTCCACCTGCTCTAAAAGTTTATGAAGTTAAACTTCACTACCTTCTTTTTTACTACTCGTTTTTTTATTATTAAAGGAGAACATATTTTTAATTGAAAATTTGAAGAACACAGAAAAATATAAAGAATAAAATGGAAACTCCCATTATTCCACCTGTCAGAAATAAACACAAGATCCAGGTCCGGATTCTGAGGATGAAATGGCTATAGGTGTGAAGCTGGGATTGAGGTTCATTTTCTTTTTTTTTGTTTTTTGTTTTTTGCTTTTTTTTGTTTTAAATTAGGGAATTGGGGGAGGGGAGCAGTTTTGGGGAATTGGGGAGGGGGACCAGCCAAGTTGTTGCTCTTCAATCTTAGCTGTGGAGGGCGCCAGTTGCCATCTGGCTGCCTGTTGGTGGCTCGTGGCCTCTGAGCTCAAGGTGCTGTTACAATCTTAGTTGCCAGTGGGTGTAGCCACCATCCCATGTGTGAGTCAAACCAGCAGACTTGTTAAGAGTGCACGCTCTATCCACTGAGCCATCTGGGTGGCAGCTCAGCTCAAGGTGCCGAGTTCAGTCTTAGTTGCAGACGGTCGTAGCCCACCATCGAACAGGCAGTCTTGTTGTTAGAAGCACTTGCTCTCACCAGCTGAGCCATCCTGCCACTTGTTGGCAGCTCAGTGCAGCTCAGCTTGGGCACAGAGTCACTGGCCCATGTGGGAATCGAACAGGTGGCCCTGTTGCTCACAGCTAGTGCTCTCAAGCTAACTCAACCAACTGAGCCACTTGGCCAGCCCCATTATTGGTTTTTGCATGTGGATGTCTAAATGTTCCAACATCATTTGTTGAAAAATACTATCTCCATTCAATTGTCTCCATTCAACTGTATCTGTGCAAAAAAACCAATTGGCAATATTTGAGTGAGTCTATTTATGGACTGTCTATTCTGTTGCATTGATTAATACCTTCATTAACACCATACTGTCTTGATTACTGTAGTTTTATGTCTTAAAGTCATGTGAATCCACCAAATTTCTTTTAAAATTCACTTTGTCTATTCTAATTCCATTGTTTTCAAATTTTAACAAATTTTAAAAAGCAACTTGTGTGTGTATACACCAAAAATGATATTTTGACTAGAATTTTGTTAAATTTGTAGCTCAACTTTGAGATGATTGACATCTTAAATATATTGGCTTATCCAGTCCATATATCTGACATGTCTCTCCTTTTAATTAGATCTTTGATTTTTCTCATTAGTATTTTGTAGAAGCATATAGATACAGCACATATTTTGTTGGACTTATAGCTATATATTTCATTATTTTGGAGTTATTGTAAATGGGATTATTTAAAATTTTTTGGTTTCAAGTTGATATGTCCATATAAACATGATTAATTTTGTGTGTTGGCCCTTTATCCTGTGACATTACTAAACTGCTTATAAGCTCTAGGAGCTGCTTTTCTTTTTAAGATTGCTTGGGATTTTCTATGTAGAAAATTACGTTGTTTGAGAATAGGGGAAGTTTTATTTCTTTTTCTCCAATAGCTATGCTTTACTTTTTTTTTTAGGGGGTGGAGGTCTCATTTTACTGGATAGGACGTAAGTAGTATGTTAAACAGGAATGGTGAGAGCAGATGTTAATCAAGTGACATCTGTTGCCTAGGAGCAGCCATCCAAGGATGTCATGTCAACTGAACTCATGGTTTGCAGATGTTAGGGTAGCCAAGAAAGACACGACTCACATTGCTCCACTGGATGGAACAACGCTTTACTCACATAGAAAAGAGACAGAGCAAGATCAGCTTCTTGCCCCGCAGGACTTGCCCTGCAGCCAACACAAGGAGATGGTCTGCTTGCACCCCTCTTGTGCTGCAGGCCAAGGACTCCATTAGCTCCCCTCCAGGAACATATATAGTGTTGGGGCTGGCTGTGCCATATGACACACTCAGAACAGAGAAGCACACATTAAGCCTGGAACAGGAAAAGATATCCCCAAACAAAGAGATATGCCCAGCATGGGCTGTGAGGGCTCTTTATGTCTTTGCAAGGAAATTTTCCAGGCCCAAGGGGCTAGAAGCTACACATGACATTTTTTCCCAACAGACACATCCTTGTATTATTCACAACCTTAAGGAGAAAGCATTCAGTCTTTCACTATTTAAGTCAGATGTTAGCTATTGTTTTTTTTATAGATGGTTTTATCAGGTTAAAAGGTTGATCTTGTAACTTGTACCTTGCAATTTTACTGAATTTGTTTATTAGCTCTAGTAGGGCTTTTTTTATTCTGTGGGATTTTACATATATATATATATATATATATATATATATATATGTCATCTAAGAGTAGAGACTTCTTCCTTTATAGTTTGGATGCCTTTTATTTCTTTTTCTTGCCTAATTGCTTTGGCTAGAACTTACAGTACACTGTTGAATAGTAGTGGTGAGAGTGGCCATTCTTGTCTTGTTCCTGAACATAAGGGGAAATCTTTCAGTCTTTCATTATTTATATGATATTAACTGTGAATTTTTCATTAATGCCTTTATCATGCTGAGGAAGTTCCCTTCTATTCCTAGTTTTCTGGGTGTTTTTACCATGAAAATGTGTTAGATTTTGTCAAAGATTTTTCTTCATCAATTAAGATGATCATTTTTTCCTTCATTCTATTTTTTTTTTTAAGATTTTTATTGGGGAATTGGGGGATGGGAACAGCGCTAGGGAATTGGGGGAAGGGGAACAGACAAGTTGCTGTCGTTTTGTTCTTCAGTCTAGTTGTGGAGGACGTTGCTTCATTGGCCCAAGTTGGCACTATCATTGC